GCCTTTGTCTATAAGGAGATCGGTCATTTCAGATCTGACCCAACAGATTGACCTTCATACTGCTGTAGTAGGATCATGGCCTAACCTCCATACTGCTAAACTGCATTACAGTGATTTAGCTTTTCTTTAAAGATTACTCTTACTTCAATATGTTTGTAAAGAGCATATGACAAAGCTGAGATACTTTTGCACTTAAAGGATGTTGAAACATGAGTGGCCTGGCACTACAAACGTTTATTGTCAATTGTCTTATTTATACAATGTCAGAGTCAGAGAAGAGTGAAACATTTCTGTTTTAACTCCCCGAGCTCAAGATGACTTCTCCATAATTGTTTTGTCTGATCGATATTTAAAAATCCCAAAATATACAATATATTGTATACACAAGAATATAAAAAAGAGAAAAACAAATCTGAGAACTTTTGAAACTTTTGCTTTCTAAATCAGGCATCATCAAAACGTATTTATATTTAATATCTTTCAAACGACTCTTCAGTTAGTTGATTTTTTTCGTCTCTGAAGCGTGATGTATTTGTTCCTGTCCAAAACAATCTGCCGTCAGGTTCAAAATTAAACTATTAGGTGAGCTATATAGTCTTATATCTTTTTTATTTGGTCAGTCAGTTTCTCAGTTTTGGCGATCAACCAGCCAGCTACTCAGTCACTTGGTTAGTAAACTTGTTATTTATTCTGTCCTTATACAGCTTTGTGTTACTTCTCTGAGCACTCAAAGTGTGTGTGAGAGAAAGTGTGTGTGTGTGTGTGTGTGAGAGAGAGTGAGTGTGTGTGTGTGTGTGCTGTTATGTGGCCAGACGACACATTCCTCTCCCTGCTGGTGAGCTGCTGTGTATGTGCTGGAACGTGGCAGAACCTCCCCTCCATCCGCCTCCCCTCCATCCGCCCCCCCTCCATCCGCCCCCCCCCCCTACCTCCATACACCACCACTCCAGCTCCCAGAGCGCCAGTCACACAGCCCCGTCTCTGCGCCATCTGCATATCAGCTCCAGCCTCGGCCAAAGCATTAAATTAAATCCCTGTTTGGGTTGATTAACAAATGGCTGGTGAGCTCACATAGTTATGGAGTTATTTATTTAATTGCTATCAAGGTTTTTCCGGCTCGTCTCGTTCTGAAGCATCCGGCAGAGCAGAGGTGTGCCGGGGTCCTGAAGGCCTGAGTGTGAGACGGAGAGGCGGGAAAGTTTGTGCGTCTCATTTCTGTTTTGCTGGCTGAAGTTCAGCCTTACCATTTGTACCTGTCTCCTTTTCCCCTCTCTGCATTTCCATCTCTCATTCTCTCCCCTTTCCCGCTCTGTCCTGAAATGAATGGTTAATCAGTCCGCTAATTGAGTGACAGTTAGTCAGTGCGTTGTTGTAATTGTCCAATCAGAAAGCTTGGAACGGGCACATTCACAGCTGATTCATCTCTGTCTCGTACTGCTAAATCCACAAGCTGCAAATGGAGGATGTGCCAACAAGATTTATTTCTCCCTGAATTTCCAAAATTACTTTTTAACAGTCTACTTTAGTTTTTAATCCTTAGTTTGTAGTCGGTACCACAGAAAGCGACAACATGTCTTGAAGTGTAGAGGGAAAGTTTGCCACCTCTACTTCTGTTTCTGTTTTCAACAATCCCTTCTTTAGTCAAACACTTAACCGAGCCAAAGTACTGTGGTTGACTGAAACTTATTTTTAAATCTTAAAGTACTATTTCTAATGCTCACGATATTTAATACTTTCCTGACATTGAAAGAGAAAGGAACAGCAGTTTAGAAAAGTTTTAATATACTGTACCTCCAATTAAGACAGAAGACAGCTCTTTAAAGCTGCAGCAGACAATATGTGTTTTGAACAAATCTAGCCCAGATTTTAAATACACTTCAAAATGGTTTATCTTGTCTGCCTAAATATCCTCTGTTCCTCAGATCTATCAGATCACCCACGTCGTCCCGTATTACTGATATCCTGACGTTCTAACAAGAAACAAAAGAGTCCTGTTGTCTTAAGCACTGTATAGTGTTGTATCTACTAATTGGCCTTAAGGGAAAAGTAAAGTTGTGCAGAAAAACTAAATGAAACTGAAGTGAGGAGTCCGAGAGAGATGGTGTGGGAAGGAGACCGGCTGTTCTGTTTTCTCCAGCAGTCCAAACTAGAGACATGTGGCTCCCCAGACAAGCTGTCCAGAGTGGGAGAGCTCGCTGGACTCATTACAGGCAGGGCCAAGACGGGATAGCTTGACAGAACACCATTGGATCATTCGGAGGATTGGAACGGGCAAAACAGAATTGTGTTGAATGTGTTCGTGTGTGCATGTGCGTGCCTGTGTTTGTTTGGAACGCCATGTATGGACAACTGTCCATCTCCTCTCTCCGTCTGTGCCACCCCTGGCTGCCCCCTCCCCCGCACCCCAGTGGACGTGTACACACTCTCACAAACACACACACACACACACATACACACACGCTGTCCAAGCCCGGCCAGAAGGATTGCTTACATTTTTTCAGTTGTACTGGACAGCTGAGCGATGAAGTGGCCAGCCACAGGCTTCCATTGGTTGGACACTTCATCAGGAAACTGACTCAGAGAAATGACTGGACTTGGACCATCAGGACAGTCTTCACTGCCAGTTTATAATAGTTGTATTAGTTTAACTTTATCCTCATCCACTTTGTCAGTCAATACATCTCTTTCTCCTTCATCCACCTTGAGGTCAACCAAAGTTTTGCCTTCACCCGTTGATCCGTTTTTCCCCATCATTGTTTTTGAGTAGTGAACACAATAACGGAAACACCTGTACATAATAAAAATCAGTTTCACCGACACCACAAACAATCCCCTTGAATAGTTCCACAAAGTCGAATCAGGACCTTTCTGACACAGCCTCTACAAAACCTTCACATTATAATCCTATGTATTTTTTGGATTACATTGTCAAATGGCGTTTATAATACATGAAATATTTTCTATGGTTGATTTTAAGCTCATTAGGCTTCCATTTTTTCTACAAGGAAGCATTAACCACAACACACACTAGAATCCTGAATAGATTACATGCCACCCTGAGCTTTACGTACAGTATTGGTTTTGTCAGAATTGACAAGCTGTTTTATTTCCGCTCAATTACAACCTACTTTCCTTTCAATTCATTTCCCTTTGCTGGCTTTCCCTCCATCCCTTTTCCCACCAGCCCCTCTCACAGCACTGTTTATCAGCAGTAGTGATCCAAAGAAGATGCTTTGTTTCTCAGAGAATAGGATAAGGCAGTGGGAGAGGAGAGGAGAGGAGAGTGGGGGGGATTTGTGAGAAAGAGAAATAAGACACTGAGAGAGCAGAAGAGAGGGAGAGGTGTGATTGCTAATCCTGGTGATGCATTGGCACCCAACAGCAGTTTCTTATCTGTCTATGTGTCTCTTTCTGTCCCTCTGTGGTGGTTCAAATACCCCCAACCACACACACACACACACACACACACACACACACACACACACACACACACACACACACACACACACACACACACACACACACACACACACACACACACACACACACACACACACACACACACACACACACACACCTCCACCACTACCAGCACCCAGAGGTACCAACAGGCCCTGCAGTCGCATGGTCCCTTTGACGGAGCAGGTGTTTTTCTGCGACGTGTTAACGAGCACGGCCTGCTGTCATTTCCGCTTTAAATGGATGTCACAAATAGAACACACACACGCATACACACACACACACACGGCTTACGCTGCTCTCCCAGCGAATTAGCCTTTAAAAAAAGGTGATCAGAGCTGTTGTGTGTGAGTATGCGTTCATGAACATCTTTGTCTATTAGCATGTCTTCACAAGGTGTGTTCAATGTGTGTGCATGTCAATGGAACGGCTGGCTGGTTAATTAAAAGGGGTTGCGAGGTAGGGAGCATTTGCGTCCTTCTGTGGTGTTTATTTCTGTTGTTTGAAATGAGAAAGTGAAATGTTTACACAGCTCCCGGCTTCGCAAAGTGTTGAGATTGTCAGTTTCTTTCATCAGAGTGTCTCGGCATTACTGCTGCCTCGTACTCTCCACGTGTGCGCGCAGTTTCATCCCTGCGTATGTACTCGTCGTACTCCTAACCAACCATGTGTGAATCAGCACACGTGTGTACTTTAATCCATGTGTGTATCCATGCTGCTTCCAGGGAGTGTTATCCTCTGTGGTGTGGAAATGTTTGACACTCATGTAATCCTGCAGCGGCTCATCTGATAAAGCTGTGGTGCCACCTTAGTGCCAGTCTGTGCCAGCCAGTCGGGTAATTCTCTGACACCAGCTGCTCAGCAGATGTTGTTATTTGTTGCCGCCGTCTAAGAACGGTCATTCTCAATGTGTAATCTTATCTGATCACATGTCACGTTATCTCATCCGTCGTGTCTCCCTTTGCTGGTGACAGGTAGTGTGTGTTTGTGAGAGCGTTGACATTGTGGCTTCATACATTTCTCTATATATGCGTTTTTTCTGTATGTGTGTGTGTGGGTGTGTTTGGTAGAGGGGGTCAGCACCTCAACACCTGCCCATGTATCAGCCAGATGATGTTTCTGGCATGGATAGTTTGCTTGTTGTGCTGGTAAACATGTTTTTGTCATTTTTTACATGATAATCCCATCTGAATCTGGCAGGCTACTACGCTACTCTGAGTGTGTGTGTGTGTGTGTGTGTGTGTGTGTGTGTGTGTGTGTGTGTGTGTGTGTGTGTGTGTGTGTGTGTGTGTGTGTGTGTGTTATCCTTTGGACAGATGAGAGTTCAGCGGACAGGCTCTCATCCGTCAAGGGAATCAAATCTGTATTTAAAGTCATCATCATTATTGCTATTACTACTTCCAATATATGATCTTGATCTTCATAACCATGATGGCTCTATTGCCATCATCATCATCATCACTTCATCATCATCATTGTGCTTGACTAATGTTTTACTTACACTTTCCACCTTGTCTTTGTATCCATCCTTCTTTCTTCAGGTGAATACATAAAGAACTGGCGGCCGCGTTACTTCCTTCTGAAGACAGACGGCTCCTTCATCGGCTACAAAGAGAAACCTCAGGATGCAGACCTGCCCTACCCTCTAAATAACTTCTCTGTTGCAAGTATGTTACCTCCTCCTGTGCCACACTCTCGCACTTCTCCATACTCTTTTGTTGTGGCTTTCAGATTTCTAATTTCTAACTCGCATCTGACTGCCTTTGATGTGAAATTCTACAAAAATATATACAGTGAGAGTACAACATTTAGTTATGGGACCTTTTCTTATGACCTTACTTAAGATAGAATTCAAGAACAGACTTATCAGAATTCCTTTATTAGTCCTGCAGCACGGACATTTACAGAGTTACAGCAAAAGTGGCATAGCGAGTAAAAAAAGTATGCTTACTTAACCCTTTAAAGGTGTCTACTCTCAGGAAATCAGTGTCTTAATCTAGGAGGTTTCAGTAGTAGTAGGTACGGGGGGCGTGTGGTGCAGTGGGTAGTGCGTTGGTGTTCGTCTCAGGGGGTCACAGGTTCAAACCCCACTGCAGTCAGCGTGTCGTTGTGTCCGTGGGCAAGACACTTCACCCCAAATTGCTCCTGTGGGGATTGCCCACAGTATTGAGTATGTAAGTCTCTTTGGATAAGAGCGTCTAACAAGTGACATGTAATGTAATGTAATGTAATGCACCGATGTCCTACAGATGCAGATATGTTAAAGCATATATCCATCCATATATTTTTAATATTTCTTAAAGGCCAATGCAACTCATATCAGTCATGAGAGCTGAAACTGCAGAACAGTTATTGCATCAGTATCACTCATGGACAAAACATCTTGCCACTCATCAGTCTCTACAGTGTTGGTATGCTTTACAGAAGGGCTCTAATTAACAATTTATCAGTACGTCATCTGTCTGCACCTGGTTAACAAGCGCCACAGCGTCTTTGACATGTGTAATTAACCAGCTAATGATTTAACAAGATTACTTTTAATGTGTCATTACCACCACCATCAACTCTCATTGTTCATACAATTAATGCAGATTGGCAGTAAAACTTTGTGTCAGCTTTACAGCCGTTCAGCTCTGGAATGAAAACGACAGTTGTTCTCAACAGCTGGGATGCATTATCTGACTATAAAGACTGTCTTTCTGCTAACTTATACTACTCACCAGATCGTTTTGACCTTTAGGCTGATATCATTTTTACTTTCAAGGTAAAAAAGCAAGTGGTTAGGCCTTGCTATTATCAATTATCAATCTGATTCCTAAATCTATGTTTTTATGTTTGAAGAATATCAGTTTTGTACTTTAATGTCGATAGAATAATCGAGCAATTCCGGGTAAGAAAAGAATAGCAAAAACAAGATACCTGTTAAATCGTTTTAATAAAGGGCTGGGTATAATGTGATATTTTGACTAAGCTTTATAATAGTTAAAAGCCTAACAGCTGCATTAAGCTGCAGGCAGAACACTATTTTTGAGGTTAGACCAGAGGAATTACTATAATCACGTTGAAATTAGGCTTAACACATGGATCATCTTTTCTTACTTACATTTAGAAAAGTAAACAGCAGATCGGCATCTACTATTTATCCGGATAATACAGATTAAACATACAGTATATTATACAGCATATGTGTAGTTAACTTTCAAACATATACATGAACATAATCTGATACAGGCCAAGTTAGTGTTTCACCTGAGGCATATATTCAAAGGTATTGTTCTAATACTGCAAATGAGATTAGATTTGGACATACTCAGCAATAAAAAAATAAAAAATATTAACAATGAAAAATACAACTGGATTGGTTTAGTCTATCAAATCTTGTCAGGTAGTTTGGTTGAATGGCTTTCCTATGTGACAATATCCAAGCAACAGTGCAGTTGGATTTGTGAGGGGACGATAGCAGAAATAGGTGAGAGTTAAAGGCAAAAACTAAAAAGAAACTGATGACGAATGACAGATCACAAACTGATACCCCCAGAGAAAATGATAACAAATGGTACATCAAAGAACAGAGGAGGACAAGTATGGGGAGTGAGCGATTAGGGTGGATCTGAGGGGTCAGAGGGAACTGGAAACGTGCGGAGGAGAAAAGAAGAAGAGAGAGGACGGAGATAGAAGGATGAGGAGGGTGGAGAGCAACGGATGGGAGATGGAGGGATTGGAAAGAGAGGGTTTTGTGGAGGAAATGAGGGGGAGAGGAAAGGGAGGACGAGGGAGGAGAGGAGGATCATCAGCACTGAACAGACAGGGAGGAGGAGACCAAGAAAGGATTGGAGAACGAGGAAAAAGGAGGAGAGGAAAATAGTTTGATAGGAGGACAAGCCAGGCCATACATCCGGCCCCGGCTGCTTGGCACAGCGCTGCCTCTGCCACATCTGTTGCCCAAAGCTGGGAGGCCAGGTGGCGTGTGTGTGTGTACATGTGTGTGTTGTTTTTGTGTGTGTGTGTGTGTGTGTGTGTGATGGGCGTGTATGTGTGTTTATGTGTGTGAACAACAGAAGTGGTCAGATGGAACAGAGATGGTACAGGCCTGTTCCCTGCAGAGGGACTCATACATACAAGCCTGTCGCTCACACACACACAATGATGCGTGCACTCACATCCACCCACTACACTGCTACACACATTTCACAATTGCCGGCTGTGGCAAACAACCCAATTTCAGCTAACATCCAAACTTCAATATCAGCACAACCATCATGAAAGTGTGTGTGTGTGTGTGTGTGTGTGTGTGTGTGTGTGTGTGTGTGTGTGTGTGTGTGTGTGTGTGTGTGTGTGTGTGTGTGTGTCTGCATGAGTGTGAGTGTTTTTTGGCATCAACCATAGCATGACCTTGTTTTCTGGCAGCACAGCAGGCCATGTTCACAATCAGGTAGTACCTTCTTTGTGTGTGTGTCAATGTGTGTGTGTGCTTAGATTGAAACTCGGCCTTGGTTCTACCTGAATACGGTTGTCATTAACCTTCCTGTCTATATTTAGGCTGAAACATGACATGCTGTGCTGTGCCACACTTAAACAGAAGTAATTGGGAGAGGGGATAGCCAAAGACAGAGCAGGAGAAAAGAGGAGAAGAAAGGAAGGAAGGAAGGAGAGAACAGAGAGCTGAGGGACATGCAGGGTGATGTCTGTACATCAAAGGAGAAGTGGGGGAGATGAGAGGACAGAAGATGGATCAGTTTGCTCTTCAGCTCTTGTCCCCAATAACCAGAGAGACTGCTGAGGGACAATGAAGATGCGTTCCTTCCCACAGCGAGCTCACAGCGAGCTCACAGCCCCATCTGGCTCTGTGTGCGTACGTTTCTGCGTTTGTGTACTGTATTATGCATTTGTGTAATAATGGCCTACTGTATTGCCCATTTTCTCAGAAATGTGTCTCTTCGGATATTCGCCAGATGCGTATGTGCTGGAACACATAATATCCCTTGGCACAGAAAACCACTTTTATTTGAATCATAGGAGGCTGAACTTAGTGCCTTTTTTAAACTAACAATTTCAATCCAAGCTGCATTGTTTAGTCAACAGCAACATGAATGCTATCTTGATTATTTTCTTGTTTTTATCCCTTAAACAGTCCTGTTTTGACCACAACTCAGAGATAATTAGTTCAATGTAGTTAAGAAACAAGAAAATATTTACGTTTAGGAAGGTGGAGTCATATATCTTAAAAAAAACAACTCAAAACTCTTAATTGGATGATCAATACAGTACTTCTTTTTAAAGCCAAAATAAATGTTTGCTCAAGGCAAGAAAATAAATCACATGACATTATTTGTGAATCCAATAAGCCTTGCAAATTGCAACAATAACTTATCAAAATGTGAAAAAACAAACAAAAAAGACATGAATGAACTCCATTCACACACATACATTATATCCAGGGGTGCACATAAGTGGTACGCAGGTACGCATGCGCGGCAACAATCTGAAATGCGTACCGTCACTTGTGTCACAAAGCGCATTTGCGTACCGATGTATATGTGAAGCTTTTCCATAAGGCGGTTGGATCACCGGACGACGGAGTCGGTCTCCGTGTGCAAAGACAGGGCTGCTGTTAACGTCGGCCTGTACAGCAGCACTGCGCTAAAACAGCTGATCACAACGTTCACACGCTCTGTGGTCACGAAGCTCTGCACTCTACTACTACCCCCCCCGTTGACAATCGCGATACAGAGGGCTTCATCATACTCCACTAGCACCCCCACCCGCTGATATTCGCGATACAGAGGGCTTCATGGGAACTTTGAGGGGAGCCGGAAGTTGGAGTACCAAACACTGACTCCAGGTACTCATCTGAGTACCTCACTGAGAAAGTTGTGTGCACCCCTGATTATATCTCCTCATACTGTAGGTCTGATAAAGCAGAAATGTTAAGTTAAAACATTGGGACCAGTCACACTGATGTTAGCTTATCAAACAACTTAAAGCTCCCTCACCAGATATCAACATTTGTAGATACAGTTAGAAGATCCTAGCACTGTTGTATTTTTATTTAAACACTGTTTCTGTGGCTGCCTGTTTCAGAATGTCAGCTGATGAAGACAGAGAGGCCGAAGCCGAACACCTTCATCATTCGCTGCCTCCAGTGGACCACCGTCATCGAGAGGACCTTCCACGTGGACTTGCCTGATGAGAGGTCGGTTCCCCAAAGACTCTTAAACCATCCTCTAGTCGTTGTTGGTCAATAAACATAGAGGGCATTAGAGGAGGATATTTAGCTAAAGATTTCTTTAAAGCCTGACGTGAAAAATACTCTTTTTATATGTTCGGGGTTAAAGATAAGATGTTTTTGGATGAATAGGTTTTTGAATATATACTGTCTTTAGACCACATGACATTAATCTAAAAGCAGCTGTTTGTATCAAAAAGTCAAGATATTTAAGAAAGTATTTTTTATATCACACTTTGGTTCGTCAAACTTAGTTATGCTTGAACTCAGCTTGAAAACTTTATACAAGGAAAATGTAAAAAATATTGTAAAATGAATGCAAGCTAAATAAATACGAATAAACATCCACGCCCAACTTTAAAATCAAATATGGATTTAAATGAGACAAATATGATGTGGGTAATAGTATTATCAAGGGCAGATGTATGTGTGAGGAGGTTTGCACTTTAGAGAGTTTTTTTTTGTGTGTGTGTGTGTGTGTGTGTGTGTGTGTGTGTGTGTGTGTGTGTGTGTGTGTGTGTGTGTGTGTGTGTGTGTGTGTGGGGAAAGAGAGAGGGTGAGAGAGGCAGAGTGGAAGGGAGACCTTTCAAGTAGCGTTGGCATAAATTCTCCAGCTGCTCAGTTCCTTTCTGAGGAGCTGAGGTGTTTATCTCCAGAAAATGAACAGCTTTGCCCAGAAGACCACAGATGCTTCCGTGCATCCTTTGAGTTTGTGTGTGTTTTTAATGTGTGCGTGTGTGTGTGTGTGTGTTGGAACTGTCTGTCCAACTTTGTCTTTGTTATATTTTGCTTCATAGTAGTTTTGCCTATAAATAATCCAATCAATATTTCAGAGTTAAAACAAAGCTTATATCTTTTATTTGTATACACAATATGCAAGAGGGACGACTGCGAGCTCCAGATGTGTGTGTGCACAAGAAGTGTGCATCATTGAAGTTTAAGTGGATGGGAAAGAACTGTGTGTGCCACAACTGGGTATCTGTGTGTGTGCATGTGTGTGTGTTACAGTATTTGTTGTACTGTACCAGCGCTGGCAGGACTCCAACTACCGCAGCCCCAGCCGTGCGCAGAGAGGGTGGCACGTGTTGGCACGGCGCCCAACTGTAGGCAGGCCCATTATCTCTCATTAGCACAAAAAAAAAAACTCATTATACAAAAAACACTCTAACCAAGAGAGAGCATTTATCTGCTGCCTGACCTTGAGAGAGTTCCCATTGCTTTTCATGTAGCTAAACACACACGCACACACACACACACACACACACACACACACATACACACACACACACTCTCTCTCTCTCACACACACACACACACACACACACACACACACACACACACACACACACACACACACACACACACACACACACACACA